AAGCCCTCTTATATCTTAATTTATACATTATTCAATAACTTTTACAGCTTTTTTGGTTCTTGTTTTCATTTTTTGTTTATTTTTTACATTTTATGTTACATTTAGCGAATTTTTTAAATTTAGCTCTTAATTGGATCTCCACGTTAATTTTACAATTATTTCAAGTTTTTATTCTTCACGCCGTCGTCTAAGGTTTCGATCTACAAGTTTTTATGCATACACTTTTTTGTCGTTTTTGCGTTTTTTTTTTTTAAATTACAATTAATCTACTCAGTACACTCATTATATGCATATTCTTATACATAAATTAGTATAACTAAACTATATATTATTGCTATATAGTGTTGGTAATATAAAATGAAGTAGCGTACAGATTTAATTTTTAAGATGCTCGCATTTTAAGTTTTTGACAAAGATAGTGTTAGAATTTCGCCGATGTTATATATTCTCTTTTTTATTGGCATTTATTTACCGATGCGGGAATAAATAGTCGGATGTTATGATTTGGTTAGATGCCTATGATTCTTAATTTTTTCTTTTTTTTCTGTTTTTGTTTAAATTTTACTTTTGAATTTTATTCAATTTTTTGTATGTTGCGCTTTGGAGATTTTTTTGGTGATTGCTTGCCTAGAAAAAGAAAAGTTAAATGAATTATAAATTAAAAGAAAGTAATACAAAAAGAATTTGTAACGAAATTAGTAATTAAAAAAAAGTTTTTTTTTTCAATATGTATATTTTTTATGGCGTGAGCATAAAAATAAATTCAAAAATGGTTTTAATGCGGTGCTCGAAAAAAATCTAAACCAGCGTTATTCTCGTTATTTTTTTGCTGTTCTTATTTGGTGCGCGAAGCTGTTGTAACAGCATAAAATATTTCTGAAAATTGTAGCCGTAAAAGCTCTGACTGACTCGTTAAAAAGCACGGCAAACATAAACTTTTGAGAACTTTATTAAATTTTTCAAATAGTTTCAAATTATAATTCAAAAATTAATAGTTTTTATTTCAAAAATTAGTATTAATATTTTGTTTAATTTTTTAATGTTACAAGTTTCACTTGATTCGGAAATGGGTTGAAAAGCTTAAAATCCACAATAATCTTTTCTAACATCCCAGAATTTGTGAGAGGACACCTTTAGTTTCGAGAATTCCAGTATGTCGAATTTAAAGCGATCAGTTAATTGTGAATTCTTCGGGCAACATATGGAGCTTTAATAGTTTTTGAGAACCTTACCGATAAGCGCATACGAGATTTTCAATCCCGCACGGAATGCTATTTGTTGTGAACCAGCGTTTGCAACAACCAAAAAACCAAAAAATAATTTTAAAATATAATTATGAAAATAAAGCATTAGGAAATCCTAGCAAGCTAAATAAGCCATAACATGCTAAATAATCAATTCTCAAACGATTTTTATTTTAATATCTTCTAGTGTATCATCACATAGTGTTCTATCGGAGCGTTCTCTGAAAACAGTTTTTAGTTTTAATGCGAGCGATTGCGGATGTAAGAAGTGATTGTAGTCTATACGGAGACACGAACGACACAAAGTAGCGACGAATTGAGGAGAAAAGAGAGAAGTTTAAAATGTTAAAACACACCGAAAAAGGTGCACAAGAGAAAATGTAGGAGTGAATGAAGTGCAATAAAAAATAATGGGATGGAGAGGGGTTTGGGCAAAAAAAAATATACTATATAAATGGTTTGAAAGGGAAAGTCATATTGGCTAGTTTCGAAGGAGTTAAATAACTGTCCATCATCCATATGAAAAACGCAAGAATGTAGCAGGGTTAACCAATAGTTCGCTAAAATAATATTCTTATACAGAGTAAATGAAAGCTAGAGCAGCATAGGTGGTACAAATTTTAAACTAAGAAACATAGAGCTTAAATAACTCACAGAAGCATTAAACATAAACTTTCTCTGTGCACTTTTAAAATCATTTTCTGCCAACTTACCTTTCACAACGCCTTTAAGCGCAGAATCACTGTCTTTTTGTGCGCTACCCTTTTTGCTAGGCGATTCCGTTGACTTATTATACTTGTTCTGAGCGCGCTAAAGAAAAATGAAAAGCGAAGCATATAAACAAATAGAATTTAACATATACTATATGCGCGATCCCTTTAAGGCACGCCAAACCAACCTGCCACAGCATGCAACCATAAACAAAGGCCACTGATACAATGACCTGCATGATTAACCACAAAATAATATTTATGGCTTGTGTACGTTCGAAAAGCTCTTTGCCATTCTTTAGGCAAAGTATTGCTTCTGAGACCATAATAGCGCCGTACACCCAGCATTGAGTGCCAACACGTTTGCAACGAGTATCCGTCACGTAAGTGTAGTATTGCCTAAATGCGATGAAAATGGTAGAAAGTGAAAAATTAAATACAAAACATTAAAGAATTTACACACAAAACCAACAAGCAATAATCGCCTACCTCACTGAGGGCGCTACAAAGAGGCCAATGAAAACGAGACGGCCAATGACGAGATAATGATCTGGAGGCATTTCAAAAATATGTTTGATGAAGAATGTATTGAGTTCCGTCACCTGTTAATTAAAGCAGTAATTACTATAAGAACTAGAATCACATTCGCAGTAGTCCACACAAAAACGCACCTGCCAAAATATAACCAATTGACAAACTGCCGCAAAACGCATCGCCGTCGACTTGGGATCCAGCCACCGTATAGATGTGAAGCTCTCCGGTGTGAATTGCAACACAACACGCTTAATTTTACCCGTCGTAGATGAGATATCCTTAATGCTCGCCCACTTATACTCGCGCATTTCGAGGGCTTTACAAATTTTCAAGCCTACCCAGATGCCCAAACCATTACATACGATTACATCCAAGATGAGCGCATCCCACCAACATTCAACGAAATTTGGTAGCAAATGCGCGAAAGTAATTTCAGTAATTTCCCACATCACAGATATAGCCCATAGAATACCAGCGTGTCGTATGAGTACGGCTTTGAAGGCCCAGCCAAAAAAATGGCCCCAAGCGAATACATCGATTGAGCTTTTTATGCGCTCAAAGCTGAAATCAGAGCAATTGGAACCATATTCCTGGAAAACATATATATAGTGTTGAATATGAATATTTACTTATAAAAACCAAGTCCTCACCTTCTCCATGTCGATGTGAAAGTTTTGCAATTTCGGGTCCAGCCAATAGAGTATGTTCATTATAGTTTTGTAATTTTGAAACATGAGAAATTGTAGCATTAATAGATACAATACCGAGCAGCCGAATATTATACGCCATAGTGCTGGATGTGGGCGGGTAAATGGGCCATTCGGAAATGCCAACAATGAAATGATTAAGAAGAAGAACACAGCACACAATATGCCAGCCCAAATGTTATCCTCGATACTTGTTTCATTCCTGTAAAAAATTATGGAAAAGTTGGAAAATTTAATTTTATGTATTCAATTTGATTGCCTTAATAACATATAATTATTTTTATTACTATAAGGCAGAAGACCTTAGTTGTTAGTTGCCTAGTTTTAAGGTTTATTTATGTAATTTAATTATGTAAATAAATTTTATATAAAGAAATAAATAAAATAATTTTATGTGAATATAAGAAACATTATATTCGTAAATAATTGCCCTCAAATTAGTGGCCAAAATCTGCCCGGAAGCAATGCTCCACATGTATAACTCCTGCCTGAAGTCTGAAGAATGGAAAAGAACGCGTCTCGTGTTGATCAGCAAAGGAAAGTTAGGAGGAAGTATGGTATCTTCATGCAGGCCTCTGTGTATGCTAGATACAGCCAGAAAACTTTTCGAAAAGCTCCTGCAATCGCGAATTCTAGCAGTTGTGCAAGATCTCTTAGAGAATCAGAAAAGAACGTTCAACCATAGATGCAATCAATCGCGTAATTAATACAGCCGAGGTAGCACAGCAGGGCAATCACCATTCCAGAAGTCACGCTACCAGCGACTCTGGACGTGAGAAATGCGTTTAATTAGGCACGATGGAGCGACATACTGGCGGCTCTCAAACACATATTCAACATGCCACCTTATTTAATGCGCACGATGGAGAGTTAATTGACTGACCGCACACTTGAGTTTGAAACGCATGAGGGACTACGATCGACCGAAGTAACCTCGGGAGTTGCGCAAGGCTCAATACTCGGACCGGACCTGGGGAACATTCAGTACGACAGCCTGCTAAGATTGAAAATGCCACAAAATGTTGAACTTGTATGCTATGCCGATGATGAAGGAGTAACAGTAGCAGCTCGCGATCTCACGACGGCTCGGCGGAAGCTCAGTCAGGCTATGAGAAGAATTCAAACGTGTATGGAGGACCACAGCCTCACATTAACTTACTGGAAAACGGAGATTGTTCTGCTGACTAGGAGTAGGATAGAGAAAATCGTCCCAATTTTTATCGAACAAGAAGAAATCTCCACCTAGCGAGGCGTCAAATACCTCGGGCTTATACTGGATAATAAGCTCACATTCTGGGACCACATCAAGAGTGTGTCCAGAAGAGCGTGGAAAAAGAAAGAAATGGACCCAAACCATGTATACGGCGCCTCTTGATGAAGACAACGGAGTTAATTTTGTTTTACGGAGCAGAAATCTGGGCTGGAGCTTTTACGAAACGACAAATACCGCAGACGTCTCGCCAACATTCAACGACAAGGAGCACTACGAGTGGCGTGCGCATATCGCGCCGTATCGGAAGTAGCCGTACTCGTACTCGCGTCAACAGCGCCGGTCGACCTTTTAGCTAAAGAGAGGCAGGAGATATGGCAGTCAAAAGAACGGATTGGGAAAACGCAGGCAGCAAAGGCAGCCAAAAGCAGGGCTCGTATCGTAACATCCGTGCACGGATCGAAAACGATACGAAAGAAAATTACGCGATAAGTATAAGCTGAATGGGACAAGAGTATGTTCACGTACGTATAAGCTGAATGGGACAAAGAGTATGTTCACGTAAGTCATAATCCGAAAAATGTGATTTTACGTGACCGCTCACACGGGGAGGTGGGTTATTTCCTCACTCAGTTCTTGACCGGGCACGGATATTTTAGAGCGTACCTGTACAAAATAGGGACGGTGGCGAGCCCACACTGCGTATATTGCTTACATGTAGGCGATGCAGTATATTCTTTTTCTGCGAGCGCTGGGATGCGAACAACCGGCGATTGGAGAGAAAACTCGGCCTGTAACATCCGAATATATCGTTTCTAAAATGCTGAACTCATGGGATACGGTCGCGGATTTCACCGAGATCATACTGCGACGCAAGAAAATTGATGTGGACAATGAGAAGATTGAAAGCAGAGGAGCCCAAAACGATCACAATTTATAGTGGCCGCTAAGGTAGAAAGCGGGACTCTCAATTAGGAAAAGAGAAGACGAGCCAATAGCTTGATGATTGCTTCAAATGTGGCGGCCCTGGACGCAGAGCGAGTTGAATCTGACCCGACATGGTTCGCTCTTGGATTCCCTATCCCGAAGTAATGCGAAAGTGGTTCCAGGGTAGGGGAATATCCAGGGTAGGAGGAGGGATTGTTTTAGTGGCTACACCACACACGTAGGAGTGACGGCTCCTATACGGTGCGAAGGCATTTTAAACCCTTTCCTCAATATATATATAAATAAAAAATAACTCAAAAAAAAAAAACTTGCACTCTATTATACTAAAATTTATTGGGCTACCAAACTGCATACTCGAAAAAAAATCTATTAAAGAGTTGAAATTTTTCTGAAAACTTGTTAAATTTTTCTAAGCTCTGTATAAAGTCTGATCTATATGCCCTTGGTCAAAGCATGAACCATATTTAAAATCCTTGTAAATATTTAACACAAATCTGCGGTACTCCTTTCTGCATCCCACTGTATATATTCACATACATGTTAATAAAAAATATCAGCAAAATCAATACGTGCTTGGATAAGTGAATGGCGTGAGATGAGCTTATCACATTAGTATTTATAGTATGACGACATAATCACAAGCTCGGCGGGCACATATACTTGTTCCTATCTTTGTCGAGATTTCGTTTGGCCTCTGGTGCGGCCTGCTCGTAAACAAGAAAAAGATTTTGGTTTTTACTAAATAAATAATATGTAAATGTTGAGATTCATAAGGAAACAATGAATAAAAAATCCCTATGGTTTTGGATACTTCATTGTTTAATTTGCGGATTAGCTAATGTCCATTTTTCATATCATTATTGGAAAAACCCTCAGGGCAAATATATACATATACATACATACATATGTATTTATACATATAATTATATTAAAAATAATAAACACGAATATATACATATGTACATAGTACTTAAATATGTACTAGCTAATGCTCCTTGTTAAAAATAGCCGTTTAGCCAAAAATCTCTGAAAATAGTATGGCATTAAATTACATAGAATTTTAGATAATAACAAAAAAAAATACGGTCATTTTTAGATATAAGATGCAACACTTCTTAGCTGCATTTATAGATGCTGCTTCCAGTTTTTTGCAGTTTGTTGATTGTTTGTTTTGGAGGTTAGCAACCTCTACAAAAATGAGCAATTTGTCACCTGAAATGCAAAAAGCCGTAAATTAGTTAGTCACCTGAAATTCAAGAGGACTAACTGGCAAAAAATCCAAAATTTACATTTTGATTGATTTGATATATTTCATTGTATTACATCTCCCTATATCGTTTTATGCAAAAAAAAATGTTACCACTTTTTGCATTTCCGGTGACTATGTATGTACATACATATGTATATGTATGTTTGTAGGAACATATATGTATTACAAAGTATGTCGGCATATAGCGAGAGATCAGGGGTATGCATATATAGTTTTTGTAATTAAAACCGGATGAAACAGACTTCGCTTTCTTAAAATGAAATGTACAAACAAACTTACGAACATACATACATACATATTTAGGTACATATGTGCATATGCAACTAGTTTTAACATAGTTTCATTTCACCTACATACATAAGTACATACATACATATGTTATAGATGTTAACGAATATATAAATAATTTTCGTATCGGTATTCTAAATCGAGTTCTAAATCCGCAGTTTATGTGTGCACATGTACTAAGCACACATTAATTTTAAATACATATTGCCTTTTTCAGAGTGATATATATGTATGAATATAACAACATTTTATTGCATAACTATAAGTGAGGTCGCGTGAGGTTTTTGAACATTGACAATGTCCCTACTATATATGTTTTAAGGATCATTCAATGCGGAAATAAAGGTTTTAAGCAAATAGAATTGCTATCGGTAGAAAATTTATTTCAAGCACAATAATCCAATGTCAATTTAGCTAAATGCGATACACTGGCACTGGGCCAATCATCAATATCACAACGCGAAGCGAAAGCAAAAGTGGTGTGGAAGGTAAATAGCTAGCACGTGCGAGCAATAATTGAGATAAATAAAAACAAATATAAATATAGTCTACTTATAATATAGATACATAGAAGATGCGCAAGGAAAAATTAACAGCATTGCTTCTGTAAATAAAAAAAATGCATTTACTATTTTTGCAAGTTTAATTTCTTCCATCATATTTAATTCCAATATAAATCGTAACAGACAATCGTTTACTAAGCTTTCTGTTTAATCAATACTCAAATATATTTTGGTCAACTGAAATAACGCTATTCTCTTTTGAATAAGTAATAGTAGTTTTCACTTGAACTAGCTCTATTTTTATTTGCATAATTGATTCGCGTGATACAATGTTTCGAAACTTACGCATCCATTTGGGCATTAGGGGAGGGAATTGGTTTAGTTGATTGAGAGTTTGTCGTTGAAATTGTTGTTGCATGCCCTGAATTGATTTCGCCACACACTGGACTAGCGATTTACTTGACATGACAAATTCATCTTTTGGATTACTCAATATCCTTGATTTGCGTTTTTTAATTTTCATAAAACATTAGTTGTCACTTCAAGTTGTTAACGGTTTTACAAGTTAAAATAACCGACAGCCAGATTTTTAGACAAGTTAAATAATTTATAATTGAATTTTGATTATTTTTTCGGAAGCACTTTTTGTTCTACTTGGATTTATTTAGCAATGTGATGATATTGAGAGAGAGAAGAGTTTGCACTGATTGAACTACGTTCGCGCTCCTGACAGGCGTTGGACGGCAACGAATACGGTAAATACGTAAATACGAAATTTCGTTTTTGTTCAAAGTTTACCTTACTCCATTCGGCACTAGCTCATCGAAACAGTGGAACGAAGGTGTCCAAATGAAGGGGAAAATAATATTTATGTGTGCCAAATATGTGGCCTGTATATGAAAATAAATATATGTACACAGGTATGTATGTACGTGTAAATAAATAAATGTATGGTTTCCGTTTAAATGCTAAGAAATAAATCCAAGTGGAACTTTCGGGATTTCAGAATTTGAAGAGGAAAGAACCCAAAACACTGTAGTTAAAGCTTCATTTGTTCCTTTTAAGAAATGCTACCAAAAAAGCAGAGACAAGAAAGGGAAATGGCAGCTGCGCATTAAGTCAAATATTGGCTGAAATTGGAGTGGATAGCGGCAAAAATGTAAGGGTTAACAAAGTTTAGTTTGCTTACGATTTTGTTTAAATTCTCATGAAATCTTTTAAAACATCTTATTGGCAAGATATGAGACACCAGTAATTAAAGTGTATATAACTATGCAAACATTAAAAATAAATTAAACATGCATACAATATTGTGTACATATGTACGTAGGATTTCAAAACCTTTCATTCATGATTTTAACCATAGAACTCACCTGACAAAAGCAAAGAACATCACAGAAAGTACAGAGATTGCGAACAATGTTATTGTATGCGGTTTATAGAAGAAATCAAGCGATATATCGTCCACGGGCCGTTCATTAACAATTACAAATGTCTCGGCAAACTCATCAAGTCCTTTATCCCTTGAAATGGACGATGAGCTTCGCTGCTTGGTGGGTGTGGTGGGCGCGCTGGCGGCGCCTGTTTTATTAGAGTTAGCATTGCTGTTGGTTTTAGCCCCTGTGTTTGCATCACCTTGAATTTCAGTACCACTATCATCAGGCGAGCTGTTGCCCCGTGAACCCCCTGCCCGTTTCTTCATAGCTTCGTTTTGGACAGGTACTGATAGTTTTGCTTCTTGGATTTTTTGTCAACTTTCTTTCAATTACATGTATATATGTATGTACTTTCTTGATTTCCATTCAATTATCACTGATTACCGCACCATTTAGCGGTAGTTGGTTGGAGTTGCGCAATGTGTGCCACTCGTTGCACGCAACGCTTGTTGTCACCCCACACGACTGAGTACCCCGCAAAAATTTGCTTTGGATCTGGCCAATTCGTACAAAGCCCCGTAGATACTTTGAAGGGTATAATGAAAATTCTGAATTTTGAACTCACTGATGTCTTATCACGCACCAAATTGATTTGTTAATTTATAGCGATACTATGACTTTAGACTTTGCTGGTTAATTGGATAATGAGCATGTGTACCAATCAGACAATTTGCTGGATGAAAAACAAAGATTTCCGTGTCCACTTGCTGATTCTAAAATTTTGACAGCTGCGCTAAATAAACAACAAAAGCAAGGCGAATTTATAGAAGGTGGTGTTCAAGGCGAATTTATAGCTTTGTTTCTTAATAGACAATTATCACAAATTATCACTAATTTCTGCTGGAAAGCGTTTCTTAACCCAAAAAACTAGCAGAAACTGACAGCTCTCTCTCGTTCTTACACTCTTATTTTTTTGTCAGTAAAAATTGTATGTGTGTATAGTAACAAATAGTACTAATTTGTACTGGAACCTGTAAATTTTTACTGGAAAAGTGTATAATAACCCATAATTTGCAAGAGAGCACTGAATCGAGAGCGTAACAACACGGGAGGGTTGCAAATTCTTGCTAGTGAAATTTTTACTAGCAGAAATTAGCTAGCAGAAGAAGAATAATAAACGTCAAAAGCCGCCATTTGTTGAATTGGTTTAGCACAAACAAAAGTAAAATGAGTGGAAATCAAAATATTAATGATGTTCTGAGCTGTGTAAGTGCTTGTGTGTAACGCAAAGATTTTAAAACTGATTTATAAATTTACAGCAGAATGTCAAAACGGTGCAACAACTATTCACTTGCAAGTTTTTACTGTTTTTGTGTTCAATAACTTGTTCTGCTAGTTTCGTTTTCTTCTCAACTTTACGCTCTATTTTCCTTTTACGCTCTCTCTGTAATTTTTTACTGGAGAATTTACTATGCAAACCTTTTACCAAAGAACGTAGATATCATCATCCAATTAAAAAACGTACTAGAGCAAAAGAGAGAACGCACGCCCCTGTTACTCACTTTTGCTACAATTATAACGAGTTGTCCCTTCTTGTTATCTACGTTCTTTGCTTTTACTAGCAGAAATTAGCAGCCGTCAAAATGGACAAACAAAAATTCGCGCCAAATATTTTCAGTAGTCAAATACATCGATCAGCTGTTTACCTTATATTCTTTGCGAAGGCGAATTTATACAAGGTGGTGTTGTAAAATCAGCTGATTTCTTCGCCTTACATGTATTTTGTTTTTGCTTTTAGTTTTTTAAAGATTTAAATGTTTTTAAACACCGAAATTGAGAGAATGTTGTCTGGTGGCGTCATGCGGCAAATGCTTATTTCAAGACATCAAAGTGCCTCCACACAAAAACTTGCAATCACATTGCTCGTCAAAATGACAGTTGGTAGGCCATCGGTGTTTGCCTGTGGAGTTCTGCGGTTACACAAGGCGAATTTGTTCGCCTTGGCCTTACATGTATTTTATTTTCGCTTTTAATACCATGTTCTCACCGACATCGAAAACATGTTTTCGTTGCTAAAACTGGTTTTCGACCTAAAACATGTGTTTTCGTCCATGTAAAATCTGTCAAATGAAAACCAGTTTTCGCTGAAAACTATTTGAAAACTCACGTTCCACTCATTCCAATCGGTGTCTTCACTAGTTTTTTTCGATTATTTATCGAAGTGGAAGTCGTATTTTCTCATTTTTAATACGCTTTTTCGTATTTATTGTTAATTGGCAGGTCAAACTAAAATAAGAGTGAAAGTAAGTGGTTGCTAATAGTTGCATTCGATAACAAAATTAGCCAACACCAGCCAACAATCAAAATCAAGAGAGTAAGCGAAAATTCTCTCCCAAAGAGATGAAAAAGCAAAAAAGTAAACGAACAGGAAATTAGCCATTACTTGCAAAAACCGGAAGAAGAAGACACACCAGCTGACTTTGTTTGTAAAGTGAACTGCTTTGGCAGTTTCAACTCGTTCTTTTCGCTCTATTCTTTGTTTATTTGTGGTACACAAATGTCAACGCACAGGACGGCGCAATCTTGTATTCTATCATTCTTGTTTGTAAACTTTGGAGCGAATTGAGATTTGACATAACACCCGTCAAGGCGAAGGAAATGCGATGAAAAAAGGCGAATTTATACAAGGTGGTGTTACTGGCGAATTTTGCCAGTAGTGGAGATTTTCGCCACGGCAGTGCTGAATGTAGGAATGCTCGATATTTAAGAAAGTATCGATATCATGAATCGATTTAGTTCATTGCATGTAAAATCGATATGGCGATATATCGGGCTGAACAATATCGATATCGGAAAAATCGATGTTGAAAATCTTACTTCCAATTGAATAGGATATCAACTCACCTAATTGTGTTATTTCCATCTTGTATATATACTGAGAATTAAAACGGCATGCCGGTCGACTCAAGCGGTTTGTCAAACTCAAGAGCTAAATAAATCACACAAGCTGCTGATTAAACCTACTTAAGTATTTTTCCATACACTTTTTTGTAGATAAAAATATATGTAAACTTAAATATCGATATTGCGGGTAAAGTATCGATGTCTTCGATATATCGACCTTGGAATATCGATTCAAAAAATCGATTATCGTGCCATGAAATATCGATATTCAGAAAAATCGATACGATATCGAACATTCCTAGTCAAAATGATGGTTGTTGTAAACAAGAGGTAAGTAATAAACCAGCTCTCTCGCTTTATTTTCTGACATTCGGCTGCCTTAAAAGGTGTTCGCACGTGGCGATTTTGTGTTCAACTTTTACTTTCAACTCGCGTAGGGTTGCACGAAAAAAAAGTTGAAAAGTTGGCTGGCGATTGAAAGCGATTAGTTCAAAGGCCGTTCAACCAAAAGTAGAATGCAAAGTTCAACAATTCAAACGCCTTTTTATGGCGAATATTTTTTTATATTTCGATATTTAGCCATTCAATTTTTTTTCCGTGCAACCCTGCGTGAGTTGAACGCAAAAGTTGCCTGAAAAAATCGCCTTGTGCGAAAGCCCTATTATAGTCAAATTTTAAAGTCAATTTTTCATAATTACTTCACCTTGAACACCACCTTGTATAAATTTGCCTTGGATGAAAATAGGTGCGTTCGTTTAAAATCTCCACCAGAAACCAACCAACTGCCAAATTCCGGCGAAATGTCATCTGTTCTCTCACAAGAGAGAAATATCCAAAATAGTACGCGAACAGAAAATTTGCAGAAACTTGCAAGTTAGACGAACAGCTGATATAATTTTTGTTTACATACAAAAGTGTAAAATATAAAACGTACGAAAAGTCGTCGCAAAGTGTTATACTGACACAGTTTATTGATTAAACAAATAACTACTTATTTCTTACAAGTTTAATTAGTCGCATTTTGTAATTTTTATCTTCCAAACCATCAAATTCAATTTTGTGATTTGCGTAAATGCCAACCATCTGTTTTTGATCAGCTGTTTCCCTGTTGGCAAAAATTTTTCCAACAGAAACTAACAGCTTCCCCTCAAAATGAAATGTCACTTTGCTCTCTCAATTTCCCCTACTTTGCAAGTTTTTTGCGTACGTGAACGCAAAAACCTGTAAGTTTTGGTTAAACTTGAACAATTAACAGCTACGCGAACGCACCTAATGTCAAAGAAATAGTGTTGTTAAATGGTGTATTTAATATTCGTTGCCAATTTTTCGAATCTTTCCGGTTAACTATATAGTTGCGTTCCAGATGCTTCACGATTTTCAGGTTTTACAGGATTTGCAGGAACGGTTGTTTTCTCCATTAATAAATCTTATGGAAGGTGGTCACCTGGAACGGCTTCCTGTAAAAACCTGCAAATCGTGAAGCTTTTGGAACGCAACTTATAGCGTGTGCTAAAAATGTGCCGATTCATTATATTTTATTTTTTAGTAGCGATAAAACTTACTATGTGAATATGTATTATATACCTAATTCTTGGATAATACTCGTTTTGTTTTTATGGTATCCGATACTGCTCGGGGTCTTTAGTTTCCCACTTCCCACGTCCCACCTTTATTCGTTGTGGCTTGCTTTGACATTCGCTACTTTTCTTCAGTATTTGCTCTTTGCGCCATATTCTAAACATTTGTCAACAGCGCACAAAAATCAAAATAGTTTCCGATATTTATATAACTTTTTAATGTTAAAAGCTTTTGAAACTTATAAAAAATTGAAATGCCACGAAACCTAAATGCAGAACGTGACAACCCATGTTTGCAGGAACAGGAACTGTCATTCAAATGCCTCAGCAAATACAACTACGACAGGGACAAGTGCGAGGTATATTTCGCGAACTACAACAATTGCAAGGAGTTTTGGGTATTTATAAATTATATATTTATTGAAGTTGCAAATCCTATTATCTTCCGTTTTAGAATAAAGTGCGGTCAGATCGTCGTGCTAAGGGAATTGCGCCTTATCTCCCACCTGTGGAAGAACGAGCCGATATCAAAGCGGAATATTTTAGGTCCAAGCCACCTCAAAATTAGCGACACTACTGATATATATGTAAAGGTTTTTAAAGTTGTTTTTCTATATTAATTTTAGTAACTCGCTGCTAAACAAAACTTTGAATTATAAATCAATTCGTCTTTAAATCGTGTATGGATGAAGCACTGACAATTTTCAAATTGGGTATTACTTCCTGTAACATCGAATATGCCAGCTCGTACTCCAACGTTGCTTTGGGATCGTCTACAATTAGTAACTTCAGCGTTGGTATGCGGTACAAACACGAAAGTCCATTCACTGTGCAACTTGTACCCGATATATCTAAAACTTCTAGTTTTGTATATCCCGAACCAGACACCCGATCTAGGCACCAATCATCAAAAGTAGGAACATTGTGCAATGATAAGAATTTTAACTCTTCTAAATTACGCAA